TGCCGACCACTGGCCTAGGCGATCAGAAGCGGAAATTGTCCCCCCCCCCCCCCCTTCCCGTAGTCTTCTGGGACACATGACAGGTCCCAGAAGACTACAGGGCCATTCACAAAGCGCAGCACTACTCGTGCATGCTCAGGGGGCACTGACTGTGAAGCCGCACGCTGACACAGCCGGGTGCCCACACTGAAGATGCCGGCACCAGGGAAAGAAGATGGCCGGTGAAACCAGCCATGGTGAGGACACCGCTGGATCGAGGGACAGGTAAGTGTCTGTATTTTAAAAGTCACCAGCTACAGTTTTTGTAGCTGCTGACTTTTATTTTCTTTTTGCAGGTAGAACTCCGCTTTAAGTCCACAGATGCTTGATTGGATTGAGATCTGGACAACTTGGAGGCCAAGTCAACACCTCAAACATGTTGTGCTCTTCAATCCATTCTTGAACCATTTTTGCAGTGTGGCAGGGTGCATTATCCTGCTGAAAGACGCCACTGCCATCAGGGAATATAGTTTCCATGAAGGGGTGTACTTGGTCAACAACAATGTTTAGGTAGGTGGCATGTGTAAAGTAACATCCACAGAATGGCAGGACCCAAATGTTTCCCAGTAAAACATTGCCCAAATCATCCCACTGCCTCTGTCAGATTTCATTCTTCCCATAGTGTATCCTGGTGCCATCTCTTCCTCAGGCAAGCGACGCATGCACACCCGGCCAAACACATGATGTAAAAGAAAAGGGGATTTATCAGACCAGCCACCATCATCAGGAGATTCCCTTAATTTACAGGGATTTCCTCTCACTTCTTGTTTTGGCTAACCCTCCTCTACTCTATCCAAAAAAAAAATAAAGCTTTGCCTATAGTTCTACTTTAACTCACAGGAGTCCCTTCTGTTGCTCTCAGCCTCTTCCAAATCTGATTTCCTGTTAAGGCACTGGTTCACAACCTGTGGGTTGCGACCCCTTTGGGGGTCGAACGACCCTTTCACAGGGGTCCCCTAAGACCATCAGAAAACACATATTTCCGATGTGTAAAGAGCAGCTACTGTGTAGAAAGCAGCTGCTGTGTTGAAAGCAGCTACTCTGTTAAAAGCAGCTACTGTGTTGAAAGCAGCAGTATTGGAGGTAAAACGACACTCATGAATTATAATTACTGGGTAAATAATTTTATGGCTGGGGGGGTCACCACAACATGAGGAACTGTATTAAAGGGTTGCAGCATTAGGAAGGTTGAGAACCACTGTGTTAGAGGGTGGCTACATTCATTCTCCATGGTCCCACTGTATCTAGGAACATAACCACCCTCTCCTACTCACTCCTGAGAGGTAGTGGGAAATATGGACTATGTAGTATGAATAGAGCACTGCATTAAAATGGAACTTTACCCAACAACTTGATCAAAAATAATGTTTTTTAGTGAGGAACATTCCACATTCATAATTATGCTACCATAATTAGTGTGTGCTGTAAATTGCCTCCAGCATTGTTCCCGTTTCTTCTTGCTGGAGGCTGCCATTTTGCTGAAGCCCTGAGCCCCTGAGCAGCAGTAAATCTTTAGGCTGTCGGCAGATCCGCCTCTACATTTTCGGCACAATGCTAGAAAACAGAGAGCAACTGAGCATGTGCAGAGCAGGGTGAGACAGTGTATTATGGGATTTTAAACAGTATAAGCATTTTTTATTAATGTTTTACATAGCTATACCTACAAAAAGGGCCATCCTGAAGTGATCTAGCAGGACTTAATTTACTGATTAAAGCTCCACTTTAAAGAAGCATTAAACCATCAACATTCATTAGCTTAACACATTGGGCACAATAAAATAAACCTCCCCTAGTAAACTATTTGTTACAATTTTAACATCAGCAGTTTACAACTTTCAATATTGTTGGCTCCTGCTCTCACAGTGTTGCTTCCCTGAACTTCTAGTCTTCACAGAAAAGAGTTAACATTGGACAGTGCAGTTTAGAGCCCATCTGTTAGCTTGGAGAAGGAATGGAGATGAGAAGGGAGGAGCAAGTGGGAGCCTTGCCATCCTAAGCTATGTGGTTGTGTGTTTCTATTGATGCACAAAGTGTAGGGAGACACAACTCTAGTCTCTGCATGCAATGGTGGCTCCACAGGATGCTGAAGGAGAAAGGAGCCACTCTGAATCAGGAAACCTGGGGCAGTGATCATGGCACCAGCTTAAACTGGAATTTATAGGCAAGGATTAAAGATAAAGAAGTTGCATACTCAGTAAAGTTGGCCATGGAAGGATCAAATCTCAACCAGTTCAGAAAAGAATGGCTGAGATTGGATCCATGTATGCGCAGGCTGGTTTGTAATAAGTCGATCTATCAATCAAATTTAGTACAGCCAGTCTATCAAATTTTTTGATGCAATTAATGCTGGCGGCTATAGCCACAAGCAGTAATCACTGTGTTCTGGCAGCAGGGAAGGCTCAGTGTAAAAAAAAAAATGTGTGTGTGTGTGTGTATATATATATATATATATATATATATATATATATATATATATATATATATATATATATATACACACACACACACATATATATATATACACACACATTTTTACAAACGCACGTTTTTCCAAATTTTTTTTAAAAAACATTTTTTTTACAATTTTTTTTTCTAACACTATGATTGCTTATAACACTGATGTTCATTTTTATGAATGACATTCATTCATTTACAGCCATTCATTGTGTACTATTGTGGTAGCTGTGATTGGCCACAGCTATCACATGGTACAGATGCATTGTGATTGGCCCTGTCTGTACTATGTGATTACTGTGACCAACCACAGAGATCTTCACAATTGTACACAATAAATGGCTATAAATAAAAGTAATTCATTGTGTAAAACTGCCATGTGATCGCTGTGACCAATTACATGGTACCGGGGTTGGCCCGGTACAATGATCCGTCATCCACTGTTTCCAGTGGGCACAGTGGGTGACAGATCGCCTCTATAGTGCATGACTTGCATGTCCATCTTGGACAGCAGTGCTCCTGCTAGGTTTGCCAGCTGATCTCTTTAAAACTGAACACATAATAATTACACAGGTTCTGAGGCTAATTTAATGCAGAAAAGGCACTAAGTGAGTTGAATGACCACCGTACTCAGCCACAGAACCTGGGGAAATAATATGTGTTTGGTTTTAAAGGGATGAGGTAGCAACCCTAGCTCCTGCTCAGCTGTCATTTGTCTCTAGGCTGGGTGGGAAGAGGTAAATATATTCCTGAAAAGTCACAAAAGGATATAAATCGACTTTGTGTGCACCAAATGCCCTTGCAAACTCAGATATCACCTTGTAAAGGTAGCAGTGATGTCAGCACTGTGTTGTGCATAGCCTGTCCAGGAAAGCAGAGCTGTGGGAGGGGCCCAGTAGCTCCACCCACTACAGGCTGCTTGTAGAAAAACACAGGAGGGGGCGGAGATGAGACCCATTCTCCTGTGACACCAACAAGGCTTTTCCATCCACACAACTGCCACTCACTGGATATTTTCTCTTTTTTGGACCATTCTCTGTAAACCCCAGAGATGGTTGTTTGTGAAAATCCCAGTAGATCAGTTTTTGAAATACTCAGACCAGCCCGTCTAACACCAACAACACCATGCCACATTCAAAGTCACTTAAATCCCCTTTCTTCCCCATTCTGATGCTCAGTTTGAACTTCAGCAAGTCGTCTTCACCACATCTAGATGCCTAAATGCATTGAGTTGCTGCTATGTGATTGGCTGATTAGCAATTTGTGTTTCTAAGCAAATGAACAGATGTAGTGAATAAAGTTTCCGGTGAGTGTATACACTGTATGTGTGTGCGTACACGTTGAATTTTCAGGCCCCATTCACACCTGAGCATTCCGTGAACGCATGCAAGTCTTTATGAGATACACATAAATCACAAGCCGTGGTCATTGTTAACAGCACCCAAAACATGGCAAGCAGACACATGGGGGGGTTTATTTACTAAAGCTGGAGAGTCCAAAATCAGACTCCCTTCTGCATAGAAACCAATCAGCTTCCAGGTTTCATTGCCAAAGCTTCATTGAACAAGCTGAGGTTAGAAGCTGATTGGTTTCTATGCAGAACGGGAGTCTGATTTTGGACTCTCCAGCTTTAGTAAATAAACCCCGTGCTGTCCACATGGACAAATGCGCCAGAATGTGGGGTTAAAAAAAAGTGCGAACACTTTTGTCGCAGGTAAGGAATCCCATTGAAATGAATGGGCTGCCCTATGTGAGTAACACAAAAAAGCGCTAAAAAATGTTCAAAATGACACAATCACGAAACATATACACGAATACACGGGTCAAATTCCGAAAGAATTTTTGTGTGAAAATCTTTTATAACAATTTTCATTTGAATTTTGCACCGTTAGTGGGGCCACAGCAACGGACAATTTTCTAGCGACCATCGAATTTGAGTGTCTGAAATTTTTTGAAAAACGAATGAATTTCTAATTAATGGGAGAATTGTGCAAGAAATGTAATCGAAAAAGAATGAGCGTGACCTGGAAAGAAACGAAAATTCTTGGCCACGAAAATTGTTTTCTGTAGCAACACGAGGGGAAATTGAAGGCTTGGTTGGAATTCTGAAATCAATGGTGGCGGCCCAAGATTACAAAATGCATGAAATTTCTGATTTTCCAAAAAAAAAAATGAGTCCAGAATTTGACCCATGGGGTGGATGCATCAGGGGTGGACTGACCATTTGGAAACTCGGGCACTGCCCGAGGGCCTGGGGTCAGTAGGGGACCCCAGGAGATGCCCCTGGTACATTTTTCATAGGCTTTTTTGAGCTTGGGCAAGGACACAGGGGCCCCACGATCCCCTATTGCCCGGGGGCCCCATGAGTTGTCAGTCCGCTTCTGGTCTGCATAAAAGTCATTGTATACTCTCCTGCACCCTCCTTATTACAATGTACAGCTACAACTGGTAGAAGTAATAGTAACTTCATGAAGCACTGTCCCCAGATAAAGAAGATAGGATAATACCGTAAGGTTCGGTGTCCCCCGCTGATTATCGATCTATTTCTGATAATTGGAACCTCTGAACAAGTATTCTCTACACTCCTGGTGCGGTTTTCAAGCTGGAGCAATGCCTTGTGGGTAATGTAGTCCTGAACGCGGCCAGCCTCCCTTCAACTTTATAGCTGAACTAGTAGGGCGGAACTAACACTCCCAGAGAGGCATTGCGGCCACCAGGGAGCGTTAATGTTTGTCGTTGTCAGGGTAACCAGAGACGGCCGAGGCTGCTCATTGGTGCTCCGGGGCACATGACCGAGGCAGGGCTTCCAATATATTATAGATGAGAGTTGGCTGAATGTGGGGCAGTGCTGACCCTCCTATAGAGGTGTATGATGTCAGGGGAGGCTGTGGACTGTGCTAGGGAAGCAATGTCACAAATGTCACCAGCTACAGGCAATGCAGAGCAGATACAGGGATTCCCTGCCCAGCTGACTATAACATTGCTCATAGAGAACACAGTACAGCATGGGTCTGCACACACAGCATTTACATGGAGCTACATATAGATGACCATACATGATGGCCCTAGCATGAGTCCTCCCATTTACATGCACATGGTGATACCCCACATGTGTTGTGCAATTGTTTATGCACATGTATGCCATGTATGAGGGGGGAGGCTATGTGAGGGGGAGGAGTTTTTAAAAATGTTTTTGTTCATTTTATATATTATATATACATGCAGGGGCGGACTGACCATTTGGAAACTCGGGCACTGCCCGAGGGCCCGGGGTCAGTAGGGGGCCCCATGAGATGCCCCTGGTACCTTTTTCATAGGCTTTTTTGAGTGTGGGGTAAGGACACAGGGACCCCATGATCCCCTATTGCCCGGGGGCCCCATGAGTTGTCAGTCCGCCCCTGTATACATGTGTATTCTTCTATTCTGTGGGCAGCACAGTGGCTAAATGGTTAGCACTTCCGCCTGGCAGTACTCGGGTCGTTGGTTCACATCCCAACCCTGGCACCACCTGCCTGAAGTTTGCATGTTCTCCCTGTGACTGCGTGGGTTTCCTCTGGGTACTCCGGTTTCCTCCTACACTCCAAAGACATGCAGGTAGGTTAATTGGCTCCTGTCTAAATTGGCCCTAGTATGTGTATGTATGAATGTGAGTTAGGGACCTTAGATTGTACGCCCCTTGAGGGTTAGGGACTGATGTGAATGTACAATATATATGTAAAGCGCTGCATAAATTGATGGCGCTATATAAGTACCTGAAATAAATAAATAAAATATATACAGTGGTACCTCGGTTTTCAAACGCCTTGGTTAACGTCATTTTCGGTTTATGAATGAAAATCCATTGAAAATAATTTCTGGGTTTATTATTTTTTTTTTTAATCATGTCTTTGTACAGTACTATGCCTTGAAAGTGCACTTTATAGAGTATTGAACAGATAATTATTTATTATTATTATTATTATTATACAGGATTTATATAGCGCCAACAGTTTGCTCAGCGCTTTACAATATAACGGGAGACAATATAGCAACGATACAGTTCAATACAAGAGGGTTTCGTTTGCACGAAAAATCAGCCGATATTCAGGCCGTTAGTGGGGCAATGCCGTCAGCCTTTTTTCATGGATCTTCTCGTTTCTTTTTATTGGTCATGCTGGAAAATCCATGAAAAACAGCCGTTTTTTGTAGACATTGGTGGCGGCAAAGGCAACGACCGATTTTTTTTGTTTATCGGCCGACAATTCGGTCGGGGTGAGGGAAGTGGATGCTGATTGATCGTGTGGGATGCCGCCAAGTCATGAATGATCCTTCAGCTGAGGGGAGCGGCGGCAGAGGAGGAGGAAGAAAGGACAGAGGAAGATGCCAGTGTCTGGGGCCAGTGTAGCAGCTGAGCTGTTGCTCATCACTCATTCCAGTGTTTCTCTCAGACTCAGTCCCTTACTGCAAGCCGGCTGGCGGCTGCTGATCACTGTGGAGTTTTGAAAATCTGTCTCTTTTTTTGTTTTGTTTCTCTGTTTGATTGGTTAACGCAGTTAATTTATATTTGGTTAATATATATTTCTTCTTTAATATTAGTGCTGGTGGCATCTTATGGCACTTATTTTTGCAACTCAAAAGACATTGTGCAGTTTAATGCTTTGTTGATTTAATATTTTCTGGTTTTTTGTTTGGAGGGGTGGCGCACGTAGCTGGTCTTGCCTAGTGCGCAAAATAGTCTAGCACCGGCCCTGGGTGTGGGCCATTTACATACCTCCCGAAAGCCTTGCCCAAAAACTCACAAAAGTGACATCATCCTGTCCTGTTGCTAGGACATTGCTAAGGCATTTCCAGCTGATTCAAACCCCCTTGCATATGTTATCTGTCCCCTTTCACAGTAGCTCTGAGCTCAACAATGCTTAGAAAGAGAAGATAGTGGACCACACATTTGTGGGGGTTTGAGAGCTCACTCCTGGGATGGTGGGGATGAGCAGTAATGGCTTGGAGTGTCTTAGCAACATCCTAGCAACAAAAAGGACAGGATGGTGCCATCTCTAGAAGTTTGTCAGCCAGTCTGTAGGTGGCCTATACCTACAGTAAGGGCATTATCCAACTTTAGTCAAAGTTGCATGTGTTTTCGTCTACAGACGCCCCTTACCTGCATAGGCAGTTTTTTTGGTAAAGGTTAATTAACTCTTTAAAGGATAAGTTCACCTCTGGGAACATATTACATGTTCCACCCAACTTTTTTAGGGTGTAATATGTAATATGTTCTCACCACTGCACCTGTTGCTAATGCAATGCTTTCCCAGGCTCAAAAAAGAAAAAAATAGTAAATACACATTATTTTACATGCCAAAAAAAGGGTGTTTATTTATTTATTTATTTATTTTAAAGTGAACTTCTCCTTTAAAGCCCAGCTTGCAGTTGGTCATACATTATGCAATTTTTTTTAATTCAATTTCCTTTAGAATTACAGTGGGGCAAAAAAAGTATTTAGTCAGCCACCAATTGTGCAAGTTCTCCCACTTAAAAAGATGAGAGAGGCCTGTAATTGGCATCATAGGTAGACCTCAACTATGAGAGACAAAATGAAAAAAAAAATCCAGACAATCACATTGGCTGATTTGGAAAGAATTTATTTGCAAATTATGGTGGAAAATAAGTGTTTGGTCAATATCAAAAGTTCATCTCAATACTTTGTTATATATCCTTTGTTGGCAATGACAGAGGTCAAACGTTTCCTGTAAGTCTTCACAAGGTTGGCACACACTGTTGCTGGTATGTTGGCCCATCCTCCATGCAGATCTCCTCTAGAGCAGTGATGTTTTGGGGCTCTCGCTGGGCAACACGGACTTTCAACTCCCTCCAAAGGTTTTCTATGGGGTTGAGATCTGGAGACTGGCTAGGCCACTCCAGGACCTTGAAATGCTTCTTACGAAGCCACTCCTTCGTTGCCCGGGCGGTATATTTGGGATCATTGTCGTGTTGGAAGACCCAGCCACGTTTCATCTTCAATGCCCTTGCTGATGGAAGGAGGTTTGCACTCAAAATCTCACGATACATGGCCCCATTCATTCTGTCCTGTACATGGATCAGTCGTTCTGGTCCCTTTGCGGAGAGAAACAGCCCCAAAGCATGATGTTGCCACCCCCATGCTTCACAGTAGGTATGGTGTTCTTTGGATGCAACTCAGCATTCTCTCTCCTCCAAACACGACGAGTTGTGTTTCTACCAAACAGTTCTATTTTGGTTTCATCTGAGCATATGACATTCTCCCAATCCTCTTCTGGATCATCCAAATGCTCTCCAGCAAACTTCAGATGGGCCTGGACATGTACTGGCTTAAGCAGGGGGACACATCTGGCACTGCAGGATCTGAGTCCCTGGCGGCGTAGTGTGTTACTGATGGTAGCCTTTGTTACATTGGTCCCAGCTCTCTGCAGGTCATTCACTAGGTCCCCCCCGTGTGGTCCTGGGATTTTTGCTCACCGTTCTTGTGATCATTTTGACCCCACGGGGTGAGATCTTGCGTGGAGCCCCAGATCGAGGGAGATTATCAGTGGTCTTGTATGTCTTCCATTTTCTAATTATTGCTCCCACAGTTGATTTGTTCACACCAAGCTGCTTGCCTATTGCAGATTCAGTCTTCCCAGCCTTGTACAGGTCTACAATTTTGTTTCTGGTGTCTTTCGACAGCTCTCTGGTCTTCACCATAGTGGAGTTTGGAGTGTGACTGTTTGAGGTTGTGGACAGGTGTCTTTTATACTGATAACAAGTTCAAACAGGTGCCATTGATACAGGTAATGAGTGCAGGACAGAGGAGCCTCTTAAAGAAGAAGGTACGGTCTGTGAGAGCCAGAAATCTTGCTTGTTTGTAGGTGACCAAATACTTATTTTCCACCATAATTTGCAAATAAATTCTTTCCAAATCAGCCAATGTGATTGTCTGGATTTTTTTTCTCATTTTGTCTCTTATAGTTGAGGTCTACCTATGATGCCAATTACAGGCCTCTCTCATCTTTTTAAGTGGGAGAACTTGCACAATTGGTGGCTGACTAAATACTTTTTTGCCCCACTGTACCTTCAAATAAGTAGTGCAAGAGCCTGTTTGATTGCATACTAATTGAAAGTGTTTAAGTTTGACCTCATATTTGTACAGTTTTGGTAAATCTAAAGGAAAATTGTATAATGTATGGCCAGCCTAAGGGTTAATTGCTCATTTAGGTCCAGGGGAAGAAAGAAAAGATATGCTTACCGTATCCTCCACTTCTCCTCGCAGCTAGACAGGTCCCTGTGGCGTCTTCTCCCCCAAGCTCCAGTGGTCTAGGGTTTTGCCGTCATCATGGCTGGAGCAGGGTCCATAATCCTGCATTGGAGGCGATGACACCGAGGGACATACCACTGCCAGAGCATGGGGGGAGCAACATCTGCCAGGGAGCGATGATCACGTAAGTAACCGCTTATTCACATTTGCTTTGGTCTCTGAAGAGCCGTTTACATTTAGATCTTCCTTTGACAGGCAGTGAGGAGGGGATGTAACCCCTTGAATCCCGCACTAAGGAGCTGCAATGTGGTTGCAGAGTAGCCCAATGGGGGTATAATTCCTGCTGTGACCGTGATGCT